CCCACACCTACCCACCAACCAACCAAAAAAAAAAACCCCACGTTCCAGCCGTCAACCAAAATCCCAAAACCTAACTAATCTCTTCCTTCTCCTTTTCCACATGGAATCTCCAAGACTCTTCAGGTCATTCTTTTGCTAGCTTCTCCCAATCCACGAGCGCTCCAGACTGTCATCGCTCTGGTGAGCTAGATTTCGTCTAAGTATCTCACCTTTGTTTAATTTCAAACCTTGATGGAAGATGGATTGAATTTTTACAGGTAGGACTCAAGGGCTACATAATAACTGTGGGAGCTAAAATGCACAGAACGTGTTGGCGTCTCTCACCTCCAGGAATGCAGCGTCACAATGGGTTAAACCACTTTGTACGTTCCAACACATGATTATAGGGAGGAAATTCCTTGATTACCCCAAATCTAAGAATCTATGCGTGAGCTTATTAAACTCGGTGATGAAAAGATCGTGGTCTAGCTATGTTGTGGTGTGTGCGCATATCATTTTTGCACTACAGTCGTCCCTAGCTAGCTTATATTGAGACCAGATGAGTGTAGATGAATGGACAGTGGTTTGTATTGAACTTTCCTCGTCTAGTTAGCTTACTGGGATTTAAGGAAAAACACCATACAGGCACTTGCACTGCCCAGCATGATGTGGGTGTGTCAACGCGTGTGCGCGGGCCCCTATCTTTTCTTGTCAATTATATTTTGTTTACATTTTACTTTATTTGATTTGATGTGTTTCTGGTTGTTGATAAATTACAGGATTCAACCTTATGTTTGAGATTTTCCCTATTTGGGTTGTTGCAACTGCGAGTTCATGCAATTTAACTGCATAATCTCCTCATATCATGATTGTCGCGACAATCCCCCCTTCAAGAGACTACAGATAGAAGAGGCTTTAGAATGTTGTTTCCATCATGCTTTTGGGCAATCTTTCATCTGAGCAACAGACTCGAGTTTCCAAAGCAAATCTTGATTCTTGATTGTCGACACTTTCAGGAACTTTTACTGCCACGAGGAGAGAACCAAGTATTACATGCGTGAAAATGGACCTCTGCTACTCCTGGGCAGTCTTGTGACCACACCTTGAGTGGTAAACTATTGGATAGGAAAGTTTTTGAGTATAAATTGGCAAATAGAAATATTTGGAGGGTAATTCTAGAAAATCATAGATTTGAGGGGTATGTAGGTGAAAAAACCTATTATAATAGCTTCTGATATGTGAAGTGATTATGATATTACGCTGCATATTACTGCATTTTCATAGAGCTATAAAAACAAAATAAATAAATAAATGTACAATGTAAGTAAAGTCTTAACAAAAAGGTTAAACATTGAACTTTGAAGTTACTAATTTTCCAAGTATATATCAATATCAAAGTATAAAATAAAAACAATTTGGATGCGATGATTTAATTTAAGAATAGTGTTCTCCAGCTTCTAATATCCAAGAAATAAATATTTTATACAAACACAGCCAGCTCTGACCAACACAATGGTTAAGTTGTGTCCTTGGAGTGTCATTTTGCAACATAGGCCAAGGAGCTTTAAATAAGTATATCCTTGCTAGATGTGCAGATATTAAAAGACAATATATTTTTTTCTTTGTTTTAAATTAGAGAAATGCAGATATGCATAAACGAAGCCGTATCTGGATTGGCTCTTTTGAATCTGTTTACACCTCTATCTCTATTACAAATTTGGGATTGACATCATAGGTAATTTTCTCCATTCAGCTTTGTACATCTTAAGTAGTATTATATTCCTTACCTATTACCTCACTCATGCTTTGGTAGAGCCTCATCCTAGCATCTTGATAGAACCTCAAAGCAAAACAAAATCATCTTAAATGCATGCAACTATTTCTTACCTACCATATTATTACCCCTAATTTCCAAATATTCTCATCTTAGCTCATATCTTTTGGACATTTTTCTCAACTCCATAATATCCTGACCATAGAGCTGTTGTCTTAAACATGTCATTTTATCATTCAACTCCATGGCACCTAGGCCATGCATGTTTGGACCCATGGTAGAAGCACATATAAAGATGATGTTCAGTTAAAATTCATAAGTCAATGAAAATTCAAGGAAACATTTCTTGGTACCACATATCTGGTACTTTTGACAACAGTGAGATAAGCTCTAAGTATACCTAAAATGGAATTAGAAGGAGATAAGTTTCTATAGGAAAAGAACATTGAAGAAAAAGGATACATATAGATTAAGTTTCTTACAGTGTTTCCAGTCTCGACATCATACTTCACTATGCGAAAGCACTCAAGACGCTCCTCAATGTATAAAGCATAATTGCGTACCCAACAAGAATAGTCCCAAGCTTAAGAATACGAATTGAGACAAAAAAAATTAGCTGCTGATTCAAATAATTGATTTAAAAAAAGTTAGTTGGTGATATCAGATATTTAGTCGTTACAATCCTACATGTAAACTTCAGCTCATCTCTCCAGAGAGAAAAGGAGGGAGGGAGCGGGAGGAAGTATGCAAGAAAGGTGGCTGAACAGCCACTGCTGATTTAAAATGATTTTCTAACATACGCTTCTTTTGAAAAAGTTACCATTCGGGCTTGACTTGTCCTTGAAATGGCACAGGTTCAGCATATGACTTCTGCCCATGGTATAATTCATGAGCTCCTCCTGGAATGTGGCATCAACTTCTCTAAAAGCGCGATGTATAACTAGTAAGTGCTAACACAAATAATTAAGTAGCAAACTTTGAACTTTAAGGTTCAAATTCAAATTGTAGTTTGTCCTCAAACCGACATAGATAATAAAGTACATTTCAACAAAAAATAGCAAAAAATCAAAAATAAAAAAAAACACAAAAATTCCAAATTAAACTTTACTTTATCGGACATCTTTCGCACCCTCAAAATTTTAACACAAAGACAAAAGGCAATCACCTTAACAACCTTCTTTGCCCGGCAATATGCGAGATGCTAAGTTAAGCACCTAAGGCGCTATAGGGCGCGTCGCCTTTAAAACAATGATGTATAATAACTTGTTTATCATTCATAATTGCAAAGGATGAATCATCCAAAGTAATCTAGCTGTAGACACAAATAAATGTCTTATAAAAAAAAAGTCATGCATACAGGTCAATGATGGACAAGAAGAGAGGCAGAGCCTGTACATTCACACAGATCTGTAACTAATTCAGTAAATTGGATTACCATACCTAAAAACCAATCAGCTAAATTAATAGAACCGAGTTCTAACAACAGGATCACAACACAACAGTGCTACAACATACTACTACTGCATAGAAATAAGTTTACCGAGCAAAAAGATCGATGAAGAGAAGATTGTACAGATGCTCCCTAGCTCTTGGGCTTCACATAAGAGAAGAATCGTTCAAGAAGATAGGATGCCGGATGATCTTCACAGGCCGATCTCTTGGGCTTCACATAAGAGAAGAATCGTTCAAGAAGATAGGATGCCGGATGATCTTCACAGGCCGATATCAGTCGTACTGACTGATTATAACCAAGCCAAAGGGCAATACATTAACCCGAGATGACAGCTCGATCACATAATAAATTATACTCTAGTCAAGATTACCACCAAACCAAAGGCAAAAGGAAACCCGAGATGGCAGGTCGATCTCACAAGAAATTACATTTTAAAATAGCCAGTTCACGTTCATTATGTAATTGTACGGTGTAGCTTCGGCTGTATCCTAAAAACAACTTACCACTACTTCAGCAGTAAAATATTCAGGTTATTACTATCATGGAATAATAGGAAAGCAGCAAACCTTATTGATATCGGTAACCCCTTCCAATTCTGTATCCCCATATATGTGCCATCTCCCTATCAGTTTGTTTATTGCTTTGTCAACAACTAAATATTAAACACAACTGAGCAATGCTAATATTTATCTGAGCCTCAATTATGAGTTATACATTTATTCTAACTAGACCAAGAAGGGTTACTCGAATTGCCTCACTAGGGCTCGCCTTGGACACAGAAGAACTACCCTTGCCAGCATAGGTGAACCCCGGTGACCAGGTGGTGACAATCTTCTCATTCGTATTCTGATGTTGCTGCATGTATATAATTCAATCATATCAAACGAGGATCAATTCAGGCCCAAGTTTAAAAAAAATAAAAATGAGAAGTAAATGGACGAATTAAACATTATACCAGTAGCGTGTTCTCCAATGAGAGCTTATCAGGCATGTAAATCGAGAGCTCAAGCGGGCTCAGATGAGAAGTGACTTCATCTTCTTCTCCTCGCATCAGCTCACTGGGGCCCGCCTCCCACATAAATAACTTCCCTCAGCAGTGCCGGTGAAGCTCGCCTCGGACAAATCTGCGCTGATGTGGCATTCCCTGGAAACCCCAAACAAGGGGTTTCCACGCAAACCAAACAGCTGCTGTGTAAAAAAGAAATAGAAAAATAGTCTGAAAGAACGTACTTAATCATTCACTCTTTGATAGATATAAATCAGTAATTTCTATGAATAGACATTCCTATTCTTTACAAAATTTATGAACTCCCAAAGAATCACCAATCACAATATCTACTCCACAGTTTCCATACAAGCAGCCACCCTTGCTTTCCTCCTCCTATCCCTTGTAGCCATCCTCTGTCCATACACCAACAACACGTCCCCAACATCCACCAATCCCACCTCCTTCAACCTCATCCCTACCTCCTCAAACATCACCAACCCTTCCTCATTTGAAAACCAATACAGAAACTTATTATAATCAAATCTTGGCACCTCCACCCCCTTAACCTTCATCATCCTCTCTACATACTTGGTTGCCTCCAATGTCCTCCCTGCCTTCACCAAACCCCCAACAAATATGCTCTCAAAATTCACCATTGGGTCCCTCCCTTTCCTCCCCCTCTTTCCTAAATGCCCCTGCAACAACATAATGTATGTGTGCATATTAGGCTCACACCCTCTCTTTACCATCTCCCTCAACACTTGGGTTGCTTCCCTTGCCCTTCTAAGCCTCAACAATCCCTTCATCAGACCATGGTGCATGTTAATATCAGGCTCTTCTACCCCTTGGAAAATTCGGTACCCCTCTCTAACTCTCTTTCTAACCAAAAGCCCATAGATTAAGTCTCCAAGAGCAGACTTATCAACTTCGATGCCTCTCTTTAGCATTTCAGCTAACACCATGAATGCGTAAGTGATTTTTCCTTCTTTGCACACCCAATCGATCACAATACAGTAGGAGGCCGAACCAAGATTACAGAACTTTCTTTGTTGTAGTCTTTTGAACATAATCATAGCATCTTCAAACCGATTGTTCTTAAATAAAGTCTCGACTATCTCTTCGTATGCGCTGACATCTGGCTCGAGCCCCAAATCGAGCACCCGGTTCCATATCTTGGCGGCCTCCACCAAATCGCCAGCTCGACAAAACCCAACAATCAAAAACCCGTAAGTAGCCTCATCAGGTGGAATCAAATCTTTGATCTTCATAACAACCGATTTTGCAACATCGACGTACCGTCGAGCACATAGGGTGCGCACAACCCTATTCAACACCTCCACATTCTTAAACCCATCATCGAGTTCAAAAATCTCAACGCACTTCTTGATCTCTCGAGCTCCAGCGAGATGGGTCGCTGCGATCTCGAGAGATCTTTTGGTGACGAGTCCTGTTTGAGACATTTCAAGGAGGAAACTATGGAGGAGGTCAATGTTCCGGGAATTGCCGAAGACGTCAAGGGCTTTGTTGGCGGTGATGAGGGAGTGGGTGAAGTTGTGGGTGAGCTTGGAGTGGAGGAGAAAGTTGTGGACGGGGCGCCATGAGAAGGGGAAGTTGTTGCAAAGCTGGAGGAAGAGCTCGTGGGTTGGGCTGAAGTTGAGTTTCTGAAGGTGAGTTTGGAGTTTGGGAAGTGGGGAGGTTTGTTGTTGGTAGAGGACTGTGGAGAGGCGGAGAAGGAAGGCAGGGTCGACTAGGGAAGTGGAGAAAGAGCGAGAGGAGAAGTGAAGTTTAGGGAGCGGCATTTTTTCAGGTTTTGGAGGGAGGTGTAGGTTTTTAAATTCAAGGGTTTTAAGGACGTGGTCTTTTGTACTCTGAGAGCTTAGACGACTATCTTGTTCGGCTTTGGTTGGGAGTGCTCAAATTCTCAATCTCATTCTTTACAGCTGATTAACCTAGCAAACAAAAAAATCCAGATCAGTGAAAAAGAATAAATTTAAATATGTGAAAATATTCTTAACAGAAAATAAAAAATACTCATGCTCCAGTTTCCTTCTGATATAGCTTTTTTGCAAATTCACAACTACTACAATTAATATCTATAATCAGTATACTCCTTTCCTCCTTTATAATCAGTATGCTCCTTTCCTCCTTTATGTAATATGCGCAATCTGATCATGTGTCAAATCCCAAACTCTTTCTTTTAAATTAAACCCAGCAATTATTATAAAGTAAACCGAATTTGAAGCAGAATGAAGCTACAGAATCATAAGGGTGTGTTGGGCAACTTCAAAATTAAACTAGGCTAGAGTAATGTGTTCTTAATTAGACCAAAGTTGATCCTTATAAGAGTTGCTCTACAAAAGAACTAGTTTTTTAAAGCCTATAATTTGAACTAGAAAAAACTAGTTCAACTTGGGTCTAACTTTTGCCAAACCAAAAATAGGATTTTAAAAATAGGATTTTGGACCAAGGTTATACCAAATAAAATAAGTTCTATAGATTTGCCAAAAGTTACATTCCGACTAGACATAAATCTAATAAAATTCAAATCTTTATCTTACTCAATCAAATTAGAACAGGAAAACGAGCGAACTAGCCAATGATGAAAGTCTGGGCAAATCCAATGAGGGGAAGGATGTTTGCCATGAAAGCATCGCCGCATTGTGGTGGATCGCAGACAAATGAAATCTCCATCCTTGGATCGATACCACAGATGAACGTCATCACTTCAGGATCTACTTGTATCTCTCCACCTATTTTGGGTCGTAATTATCACTTCATTTGCTACCCACTCATACGTATGTGTGGAGCCTGTATGCAGCTGAAAGCTTCAAAGTCAACATGCGGTACCAGAAGATGGAATGTGACAATCCAGTCCCACGTGTTGGAGGGAAAAAGAAAAAACAAGGCTATAAATATCATCAAAAACTTTGGACGATCATCAGATAACCACCTACAACTTTTAAAATATCAGAAAACCATATTTTTTTTCTATGAAAAATTGAGGTTCATGGTTTTCGGGGGTATTCTGAAGATATCTGTTATCTGAAACAAAAACCACCTACAACTTTTAAGATATCTTTGTCATGGTCTTGCATATGATAAAGAAACATCCAGCATTCGTGATGGAGTCAAAAAAAAACAAGATATAAGCTGTTCAGAATAATCTCTCAACCTTAAAGACAACTATAAATAAGTACAAAAGACAAAAACCTTGCAACATACATAAGCAATTATGTCCTGGATTGGTAGATTATCAGCAAACCATGATAGTGTTATCTGAAACAAAAATCATACGCACAACACTTAAAAGACTCTCAAAAACAGTTTCATTAAGTTGCAAAAGTTCTTTGTAGGAAACGAGGAGCTACATTAAGTTGCAAAAGTTTCAAAAACAATTTTATTTGGCAAACTATTTTTACTTAACTTCTAAATTCTGCCATTTGGGTGGCGACATAATATTATGATGATTAGGATTACGAACCCAACAAATTGTCTTGCATATGGCGACATAATATTATGATGATTAGGCTTCTTCATGGCATTCTGTTGCAAAATTTTGCAAATTTGGGGTTTTACTACTATTCATTTTCATCTCAGACTAAGTTTTCTTCTATTGGAAAATTACCTATAGCTCTCTATTAGTGATGGAAGCACTAAACGCCATTTTAAGCCAGATAAATAATGAAGCACAAGAAGCTGTAAATAAACCATATTTATATACACTATTTTATGTTCTTGCATTTTTTTTCCTTTTTTTGGGTCAGTAAGTTTAAGTTTTAGTAATTTTCTTGGAGTAGACTTACCCGAGTAATTATAATCCTGCTTTAGTAATTTTTTTTAATTTAAAAACTGCCAGTAGGTCACTGTAAAATTTTAACTAAACAAGGGCTATTCAAATAAAAGTTTATATTATACTTTTCTATTATCTTGAAATGATACTCTTGCACCAAAAATACCCTAGTGTTTCACGAACTCTGCACTTAAATACCCTCAGCTGTGAATGATTTCACATAAACACCATTAAGTTTTCAAATGTTGCTCATTGATACCTTTTGTAAGTAAACCATTAGAATATTCATGGAATGTTCCCACATGATCATTCATGCAGTATTTTTGGGCTATGCTTTACCCTTATAGTTGGCCTAACTTACATATACTACCCTTATGCTATATGAAAGCTGTTTCTCCCCGTTTATCACCTAAAATTCACATGTGACCTTGTCCTTCCAAATATCATTGCGTGCAACCATGAAGGTATGCTCAAGATGTCCAAGATTTGCATCAGGCACTGGGGTTCTTGACGAGATCCCTTAACTATCTGTTTAACCTCTTGGTGAATGACTGAACATACTCATCTTCTCATGCAAAATGTACTGATATAATTTGAAATCTACCGTAAAAATTAGTAACTCAAAATTTACATTTTTATTCACTTTTCAATTACCAAAGATTCCCTGATGGCGCTAGTTCTAAGAACAAATTGAATGAGAATAGCTTGCACTGTTCCATACAGTGAAAAAAAGACAGGCAATTTAAGAATCGTGCCCTCTCTATAAATGGAGCAGAACAAAAGTCCACATCTTATCAGAATAATCTACACGCGAGCGGCTGGTTTTCATCCATTCGTGGGAAAAGTTTGATGGTGGAATGTTAATTTGTTATCCTAAGAGAATCTTTATAAGATTCATATTGACAGGCAACCCTATTATGACCAATATTTTTTGGCTACATATGATAAAAAACCTCTTAACTTTGGATGATTATTAGATAACCCCTATAACTTTCAAAATACATGCAAGCCCTCTTTAAGTTTAGCGATATTAAAAAAAGCCTTAAAGTTTAAGATATCTTCAGAATACCCCCGAAAACCATGAACCACAATTTTTCATAGAAAAAAAATATGGTTTTCTGATATTTTAAAAGTTGTAGGTGGTTATCTGATGATCGTCCAAAGTTTTTGATGATATTTATAGCCTTGTTTTTTCTTTTTCCCTCCAACACGTGGGACCGGATTGTCACATTCCATCTTCTGGTACCGCATGTTGACTTTGAAGCTTTCAGCTGCATACAGGCTCCACACATACGTATGAGTGGGTAGCAAATGAAGTGATAATTACGACGCAAAATAGGTGGAGAGATACAAGTAGATCCTGAAGTGATGACGTTCATCTGTGGTATCGATCCAAGGATGGAGATTTCATTTGTCTGCGATCCACCACAATGCGGCGATGCTTTCATAACAAACATCCTTCCCCCCATTGGATTTGCCCAGACTTTCATCATTGGCTAGTTCGCTCGTTTTCCTGTTCTAATTTGATTGAGTAAGATAAAGATTTGAATTTTATTAGATTTATGTCTAGTCGGAATGTAACTTTTGGCAAATCTATAGAACTTATTTTACTTGGTATAACCTTGGTCCAAAATCCTATTTTTGGTTTGGCAAAAGTTAAACCCAAGTTGAACTAGTTTTTTCTAGTTCAAATTATAGGCTTTAAAAAACTAGTTTTTTTTATAAGAATCAACTTTGGTCTAATTAAGAAAACATTACTCTAGCCTAGTTTAATTTTGAAGTTGCCCAACACACCCTTATGATTATGTAGCTTCATTCTGCTTCAAATTCGGTTTACTTTATAATAATTGCTGGGTTTAATTTAAAAGAAAGAGTTTGGGATTTGACACATGATCAGATTGCGCATATTACATAAAGGAGGAAAGGAGTATACTGATTATAAAGGAGGAAAGGAGTATACTGATTATAGATATTAATTGTAGTGGTTGTGAATTTGCAAAAAAACTATATCAGAAGGAAACAGGAGCATGAGTATTTTTTATTTTCTGTTAAGAATATTTTCACATATTTAAATTTATTCTTTTTCACTGATCTGGATTTTTTGTTGACGAGAAACCTTGCTAGGTTAGTCAGCTGTAAAGAATGAGATTGAGAATTTGAGCACTCCCAACCAAAGCCGAACAAGATAGTCGTCTAAGCTCTCAGAGCACAAAAGACCACGTCCTTAAAACCCCTGATTTTAAAAACCTACACCTCCCTCCAAAACCTGAAAAAATGCCGCTCCCTAAACTTCACTTCTCCTCTCGCTCTTTCTCCACTTCCCTAGTCGACCCTGCCTTCCTTCTCCGCCTCTCCACAGTCCTCTACCAACAACAAACCTCCCCACTTCCCAAACTCCAAACTCACCTTCAGAAACTCAACTTCAGCCCAACCCACGAGCTCTTCCTCCAGCTTTGCAACAACTTCCCCTTCTCATGGCGCCCCGTCCACAACTTTCTCCTCCACTCCAAGCTCACCCACAACTTCACCCACTCCCTCATCACCGCCAACAAAGCCCTTGACGTCTTCGGCAAATCCCGGAACATTGACCTTCTCCATAGTTTCCTCCTTGAAATGTCTCAAACAGGACTCATCACCAAAAGATCTCTCGAGATCGCAGCGACCCATCTCGCTGGAGCTCGAGAGATCAAGAAGTGCGTTGAGATTTTTGAACTCGATGATGGGTTTAAGAATGTGGAGGTGTTGAATAGGGTTGTGCGCACCCTATGTGCTCGACGGTACGTCGATGTTGCAAAATCGGTTGTTATGAAGATCAAAGATTTGATTCCACCTGATGAGGCTACTTACGGGTTTTTGATTGTTGGGTTTTGTCGAGCTGGCGATTTGGTGGAGGCCGCCAAGATATGGAACCGGGTGCTCGATTCGGGGCTTGAGCCAGATGTCAGCGCATACGAAGAGATAGTCGAGACTTTATTTAAGAACAATCGGTTTGAAGATGCTATGATTATGTTCAAAAGACTACAACAAAGAAAGTTCTGTAATCTTGGTTCGGCCTCCTACTGTATTGTGATCGATTGGGTGTGCAAAGAAGGAAAAATCACTTACGCATTCATGGTGTTAGCTGAAATGCTAAAGAGAGGCATCGAAGTTGATAAGTCTGCTCTTGGAGACTTAATCTATGGGCTTTTGGTTAGAAAGAGAGTTAGAGAGGGGTACCGAATTTTCCAAGGGGTAGAAGAGCCTGATATTAACATGCACCATGGTCTGATGAAGGGATTGTTGAGGCTTAGAAGGGCAAGGGAAGCAACCCAAGTGTTGAGGGAGATGGTAAAGAGAGGGTGTGAGCCTAATATGCACACATACATTATGTTGTTGCAGGGGCATTTAGGAAAGAGGGGGAGGAAAGGGAGGGACCCAATGGTGAATTTTGAGAGCATATTTGTTGGGGGTTTGGTGAAGGCAGGGAGGACATTGGAGGCAACCAAGTATGTAGAGAGGATGATGAAGGTTAAGGGGGTGGAGGTGCCAAGATTTGATTATAATAAGTTCATGTATTGGTTTTCAAATGAGGAAGGGTTGGTGATGTTTGAGGAGGTAGGGATGAGGTTGAAGGAGGTGGGATTGGTGGATGTTGGGGACGTGTTGTTGGTGTATGGACAGAGGATGGCTACAAGGGATAGGAGGAGGAAAGCAAGGGTGGCTGCTTGTATGGAAACTGTGGAGTAGATATTGTGATTGGTGATTCTTTGGGAGTTCATAAATTTTGTAAAGAATAGGAATGTCTATTCATAGAAATTACTGATTTATATCTATCAAAGAGTGAACGATTAAGTACGCTCTTTCAGACTATTTTTCTTTTTCTTTTTTACACATAGCAGCTGTTTGGTTCGCGTGGAAACCCCTTGTTTGGGGTTTCCAGGGAATGCCACATCAGCACAAATTTGTCCAAGGCGAGCTTCACCAGCACTGCTGAGGAAAGTTCTTTATGTGGGAGGCGGGCCCCAGTGAGCTGATGTGAGGAGAAGAAGGTGAAGTCACTTCTCATCTGAGCCCGCTTGAGCTCTCGATTTACATGCCTGATAAGCTCTCATTGGAGAACACGCTACTGGTATAATGTTTAATTCGCCCATTTACTTCTCATTTTTATTTTTTTAAACTGAATTGATCCTCGTTTGATATGATTGAATTATATACATGCAGCAACATCAGAATACGAATGAGAAGATTGTCACCACCTGGTTACCGGGGTTCACCTATGCTGGCAAGGGTAGTTCTTCTGTGTCCAAGGCGAGCCCTAATGAGGCAATGCGAGCAACCCTTCTTGGTCTAGTTAGAATAAATGTATAACTCATAATTGAGGCTCAGATAAATATTAGCATTTCTCAGTTGTGTTTAATATTTAGTTGTTGACAAAGCAATAAACAAATTGATAGGGAGATGGCACATATATGGGGACATGGATAAGTGGTAAATATCGATTGAATTTGCCTTTGGCTACTGAAAGAGTGGGATACAGAATTGGAAGGGGTTATCGAAATCAACAAGGTTTGCTGCTTTCCTATTATTCCATGATAGTAATAACCTGAATATTTTACTGCTGAAGTAGTGGTAAGTTGCTTTTAGGATACAGCCGAAGTTACACCGTACAATTACATAATGAACGTGAACTGGCTATTTTAAAATGTAGTTTCTTGTGAGATCGACCTGCCATCTCGGGTTTCCTTTTGCCTTTGGTTTGGTGGTAATCTTGACTAGAGTATAATTTATTATGTGATCGAGCTGTCATCTCGGGTTAATGTATTGCCCTTTGGCTTGGTTATAATATCAGGACCAAGTTTAAAAAAAATGAAAATGAGAAGTAAATGGGCGAATTAAATATTATACCAGTAGCGTGTTCTCCAATGAGAGCTTATCAGGCATGTAAATCGAGAGCTCAAGCAGGCTCACATGAGAAGTGACTTCATCTTCTTAATGTGAGAAGTGCACCTAACCCCATTGTAAAAAGATTGTTGGCGGCTGTGGTTAAAACTGGAATAATACAGATATATAGCAACTAATAACTAAAAGAAAGCTGAAGTACAGTAATTTAAATTTTTTCAACTCAGTTGCTGTGCGTTTGTAAAACGCTGTGCTTAAAGCATTATTTGGCCTACTCCGGTGCAAGGATCCCAAGGCCAAATTGCTTCCAAGAACAGCAGTCCAGTACTCTGGTGTGCACCAACCCAGTACTGTCAAGATCTCCTCGATCTGTAAGGCAAAGATCTCCTCGATCTATCAAGCAAAAGATCTCCTCGATCTCCTCAGGCAAAGATCTCCTCGATCTATAAGACCTTCTCGGTCTAGTCACTGTTCCTACTAGCACTAGCTATTCTACAATATATATCTGTATATATTGATTGCTGTTTTTTTTTAATGAATTTTCCTTAAGGATTTGAGGTCTATTTATAGCGTTTGGAAAAACACTATGCATTAATAAAATAATACTGATGGCATGTATAAAATCAGTACGAGTACACCCAACCCCATTGTTAAAAGATTGTTAGCGCCTGTGGTTAAAACTGGAATAATACAGATATATAGCAGCTAATAATTGAAAGAAAGCTGAAGTACAGTAATTTAAATTTTTTTCAACTCAACTGCTGTGCGTTTGTAAAACGCTGTGCTTAAAGCATTATTTGGCCTACTCCGGTGCAAGGATCCCAAGGCCAAATTGCTTCCAGGAATAGCAGTCCAGTACTCTGGTGTGCACCAACCCAGTACTGTCAAGATCTCCTCGATCTGTAAGGCAAAGATCTCCTCGATCTATCAGGCAAAAGATCTCCTTGATCTCCTCAGGCAAAGATCTCCTCGATCTATAAGACCTTCTCGGTCTAGGCACTGTTCCTACTAGCACTAGCTATTCTACAATATATATCTGTATATATTGATTGTTGTTCCTACTAGCACTAGGCATTATTGTACTAGGCACTGTTCCTACTAGCACTAGCTATTCTACAATATATAACAGAAAAAAGAACCAGAATCCGAAGAACCTGAACGTTCAGAAGGAGTTCAAGAGGAGCGGCAAATGCTTCAACCGTGGGAAGCAATGACATTTTGCCAAAGACTGCAAAACACCAAAGAAGGAAACAACGCACAATGTCAATCAAGCAAGGTTTTAAATATCGGATGTCGGGTTCATGTCGGACGGCTGAAATCCATGTCGGATAGCGGAAATCGGGGATATATCGGGGGACATGGACTAAATATCGGATTGCCATATCGGGTGATCCACATATGTATAATATCATGCCCTAAATGTAATCTAACTATCTAAGCATTCCTAAATTCATAACTTCATGACTCTGCACATTTCAACATTCATATGCACATTTAAAATAAAATAAATCTCTCCTTATTAATCAATAATCATTAGCCTATTATTAATCAGTTAGCCTATTATTAATCAAGTGATCAAACATCAAGTAATCATTAGCCTATTATTAATCAAAATAGTCCACAAACCAAACATTCACGTGTGAAGAAGAAAAAAAGAAAAAACAGGAAAATCGGCCGATATGGCCGATTTTCCAAACAAGAAAATCGGCCGATATGGCCGATTTTTCGCCAATATGGCCGATATGTCGGTAAAAAACGATATGCGACTTGTTTTTCCCCGATTTGTGTCGTTGGACCCCTCAATCCGCTATATCGGCCGACATGTCCGACATGTCGGCCGATATTTAAAACACTGCAATCAAGTTGATGATTGTGTAGCTATGCTCTTCTAGGTAACAACTCCAAGTAACATCTCTAGTTGGTGGTTAGATACGGGTGCTACTTGTCACGTATGCCCCAATAGAAATATGTTCTCTTCTTATATTGCTACCAAAGAGAACGTATCAATGGAGATCTTTTGCCTGATAGATCGAGGAGATCTGTGCCTTACAGATCGAGGAGATCTTGAGAGTACTGGGTTGGTGCATACCAGAGTACTAGACTGCTATTCCTGGAAGCAATTTGGCCTTGGGATCCTTGCACCGGAGTAGGCCAAATAATGCTTTAAGCACAGCGTTTTACAAACGCACAGCAGATGAGTTGAAAAAATTTAAATTACTGTACTTCAGCTTTCTTTCAGTTATTAGCTGCTATATATCTGTATTATTCCAGTTTTAACCACAGGCGCCAACAATATAAATAGACCTCAAATCTTTAAGGAAAATTCATTCAAAAAAAAACAACAATCAATATATACAGATATAAATTGTAGAATAGCTAGTGCTAGTAGGAACAGTGCCTAGACCGAGAAGGTCTTATAGATCGAGGAGATCATTGCCTGAGGAGATTGAGGAGATCTTTTGCCTGATAGATCGAGGAGATCTTTGCCTTACAGATCGAGGAGATCTTGACAGTACTGGGTTGGTGCACACCAGAGTACTGGACTGCTGTTCCTGGAAGCAATTTGGCCTTGGGATCCTTGCACCGGAGTAGGCCAAATAATGCTTTAAGCACGGCGTTTTACAAACGCACAGCAGCTGAGTTAAAAAATTTTAAATTACTGTACTTCAGCTTTCTTTCAGTTATTAGTTGCTATATATCTGTATTATTCCAGTTTTAACCACAGGCGCCAACAATCTTTTTACAATGGGGTTGGGTGCACTCGTACTGATTTTATACATGTCATCAGTACGATATGCATTGCCAAAATACAGATATATAGCTGTACTGGGTTGGTGCACACCAGAGTACTGGACTGCTGTTCCTGGAGTGAGCTAATGTGAGGAGAAGAAGATGAAGTCACTTCTCATGTGAGCCCGCTTGAGCTCTCGATTTACATGCCTGATAAGCTGTCATTGGAGAACACGCTACTGGTATAATATTTAATTCACCCATTTACTTCTCATTTTTATTTTTTTTAAACTTGGTCCTGATATTATAACCAAGCCAAAGGGCAATACATTAACCCGAGATGACAGCTCGATGACATAATAAATTATACTCTAGTCAAGATTACCACCAAACCAAAGGCAAAAGGAAATCCGAGATGGCAGGTCGATCTCACAAGAAACTACATTTTAAAATAGCCAGTTCACGTTCATTATGTAATTGTACGGTGTAACTTCGGCTGTATCCTAAAAGCAACTTACCACTACTTCAGCAGTAAAATATTCAGGTTATTACTATCATGGAATAATAGGAAAGCAACAAACCTTATTGATATCGATAACCCCTTCCAATTCTGTATCCCACTCTTTCAGTAGCCAAAGGCAAATTCAATCGATATTTACCACTTATCCATGTCCCCATATATGTGCCATCTCCCTATCAATTTGTTTATTGCTTTGTCAACAACTAAATATTAAACACAACTGAGAAATGCTAATATTTATCTGAGCCTCAATTATGAGTTATACATTTATTCTAACTAGACCAAGAAGGGTTACTCGCATTGCCTCACTAGGGCTCACCTTGGACACAGAAGAACTACCCTTGCCAGCATAGGTGAACCCCGGTGACCAGGTGGTGACAGTCTTCTCATTCGTATTCTTATGTTGATGCATGTATATAATTCAATCATATCAAACGAGGATCAATTCAGTTTAAAAAAAAATGAAAATGAGAAGTAAATGGGCGAATTAAACATTATACCAGTAGCGTGTTCTCCAATGAGAGCTTATCAGGGCGAATTAAACATTATACCAGTAGCGTGTTCTCCAATGAGAGCTTATCAGGCATGTAAATCGAGAGCTCAAGCGGGCTCAGATGAGAAGTGACTTCAAGCTTATCAGGCATGTAAATCGAGAGCTCAAGCGGGCTCAGATGAGAAGTGACTTCATCTTCTTCTCCTCACAACAGCTCACTGGGGCCCGCCTCCCACATAAAGAACTTCCCTCAGCAGTGCCGGTGAAGCTCGCCTTGGACAAATCTGCGCTGATGTGGCATTCCCTGGAAACCCCAAACAAGGGGTTTCCACGCGAACCAAGCAGCTGCTATGTGTAAAAAAGAAAAAGAAAAATAGTCTGAAAGAGCGTACTTAATCGTTCACTCTTTGATAGATATAAATCAGCAATTTCTATGAATAGACATTCCTATTCTTTACAAAATTTATGAACTCCCAAAGAATCACCAATCACAATATCTACTCCACAGTTTCCATACAAGCAGCCACCCTTGCTTTCCTCCTCCTATCCCTTGTAGCCATCCTCTGTCCATACACCAACAACACGTCCCCAACATCCACCAATCCCACCTCCTTCAACCTCATCCCTACCTCCTCAAACATCACCAACCCTTCCTCATTTGAAAACCAATACATGAACTTATTATAATCAAATCTTGGCACCTCCACCCCCTTAACCTTCATCATCCTCTCTACATACTTGGTTGCCTCCAATGTCCTCCCTGCCTTCACCAAACCCCCAACAAATATGCTCTCAAAATTCACCATTGGGTCCCTCCCTTTCCTCCCCCTCTTTCCTAAATGCCCCTGCAACAACATAATGTATGTGTGCATATTAGGCTCACACCCTCTCTTTACCATCTCCCTCAACACTTGGGTTGCTTCCCTTGCCCTTCTAAGCCTCAACAATCCCTTCATCAGACCATGGTGCATGTTAATATCAGGCTCTTCTACCCCTTGGAAAATTCGGTACCCCTCTCTAACTCTCTTTCTAACCAAAAGCCCATAGATTAAGTCTCCAAGAGCAGACTTATCAACTTCGATGCCTCTCTTTAGCATTTCAGCTAACACCATGAATGCGTAAGTGATTTTTCCTTCTTTGCACACCCAATCGATCACAATACAGTAGGAGGCCGAACCAAGATTACAGAACTTTCTTTGTTGTAGTCTTTTGAACATAATCATAGCATCTTCAAATCGATTGTTCTTAAATAAAGTCTCGACTATCTCTTCGTATGCGCTGACATCTGGCTCGAGCCCCAAATCGAGCACCCGGTTCCATATCTTGGCGGCCTCCACCAAATCGCCAGCTCGACAAAACCCAACAATCAAAAACCCGTAAGTAGCCTCATCAGGTGGAATCAAATCTTTGATCTTCATAACAACCGATTTTGCAACATCGACGTACCGTCGAGCACATAGGGTGCGCACAACCCTATTCAACACCTCCACATTCTTAAACCCATCATCGAGTTCAAAAATCTCAACGCACTTCTTGATCTCTCGAGCTCCAGCGAGATGGGTCGCTGCGATCTCGAGAGATCTTTTGGTGATGAGTCCTGTTTGAGACATTTCAAGGAGGAAACTATGGAGGAGGTCAATGTTAAGGGAATTGCCGAAGACGTCAAGGGCTTTGTTGGCGGTGATGAGGGAGTGGGTGAAGTTGTGGGTGAGCTTGGAGTGGAGGAGAAAGTTGTGGACGGGGCGCCATGAGAAGGGGAAGTTGTTGCAAAGCTGGAGGAAGAGCTCGTGGGTTGGGCTGAAGTTGAGTTTCTGAAGGTGAGTTTGGAGTTTGGGAAGTGGGGAGGTTTGTTGTTGGTAGAGGACTGTGGAGAGGCGGAGAAGGAAGGCAGGGTCGACTAGGGAAGTGGAGAAAGAGCGAGAGGAGAAGTGAAGTTTAGGGAGCGGCATTTTTTCAGGTTTTGGAGGGAGGTGTAGGTTTTTAAATTCAGGGGTTTTAAGGACGTGGTCTTTTGTGCTCTGAGAGCTTAGACGACTATCTTGTTCGGCTTTGGTTGGGAGTGCTCAAATTCTCAATCTCATTCTTTACAGCTGACTAACCTAGCAAGGTTTCTCGTCAACAAAAAATCCAGATCAGTGAAAAAGAATAAATTTAAATATGTGAAAATATTCTTAACAGAAAATAAAAAATACTCATGCTCCTGTTTCCTTCTGATATAGCTTTTTTGCAAATTCACAACCACTACAATTAATATCTATAATCAGTATACTCCTTTCCTCCTTTATAATCAGTATACTCCTTTCCTCCTTTCCTCCTTTATGTAATATGCGCAATCTGATCATGTGTCAAATCCCAAACTCTTTCTTTTAAATTAAACCCAGCAATTATTATAAAGTAAACCGAATTTGAAGCAGAATGAAGCTACAGAATCATAAGGGTGTGTTGGGCAACTTCAAAATTAAACTAGGCTAGAGTAATGTTTTCTTAATTAGACCAAAGTTGATCCTTATAAGAGTTGCTCTACAAAAGAACTAGTTTTTTAAAGCCTATAATTTGAACTAGAAAAAACTAGTTCAACTTGGGTCTAACTTTTGCCAAACCAAAAATAGGATTTTGGACCAAGGTTATACCAAATAAAATAAGTTCTATAGATTTGCCAAAAGTTACATTCCGACTAGACATAAATCTAATAAAATTCAAATCTTTATCTTACTCAATCAAATTAGAACAGGAAAACGAGCGAACTAGCCAATGATGAAAGTCTGGGCAAATCCAATGAGGGGAAGGATGTTTGCCATGAAAGCATCGCCGCATTGTGGTGGATCGCAGACAAATGAAATCTCCATCCTTGGATCGATACCACAGATGAACGTCATCACTTCAGGATCTACTTGTATCTCTCCACCTATTTTGGGTCGTAATTATCACTTCATTTGCTACCCACTCATACGTATGTGTGGAGCCTAGGGGTGAGCACGGTTCGGTTCGGGTCGGTTTTTACCAAATTTTGAACAACCGAACCGAACCGCCCATTATTTAAAACCGAACCGAACTTTTGAAAGTCGGTTCGGTGCGGTTCGGTTCGGTTTGTTCGGTTCTTGATAGGCTGACAGTTCTTGATAGGCCTCCAACTTGTTCTTAAGAGCAGGCATAACTGAAGCACAAATGACTAACAAGGAATTTTATCAAAACAGTTTCATTGCTACAAAGTAACAGGAACAAGCTATCCTCTAGCAAAACTAACACAAGAAAGTAAAAAAAGACAATGTAGATTCTTTATAAAAAAAACATGAAGGTTTATTTTTGTGCGTTCTCATTCAGTGAGATTGATTAATCCAAAATTATAGCCCCACGAGTAAATTATCATCAAAACCAATTAACCCATTGCTATATAACAGGAATCAACTCTTAACAAGATTAAAGAAAGAAGTCGGAACAAAACTAGACAAAGATCGATAAATAAGATAATCATAGAAGTTTATATTGAGAGATCTTACGGTGACAATCCCTTCTGCACAAAAGAGACGAGTCTAACGCAACCAAACTGAATCGATAGCTCCCTAACATCCAAGCTCGCCCTTTTACAAAGAAAACCCAAATCAAAATTTCAACAATTCTGTCCTAAAACAACAAAATCATCACAAAAAAATAACGAAAAGAGTGACCCACTTGGATTCGAGGCTGAACTCGTTTCTGGTGAACCTCGAGAGTAGATTGGACTTCCCTACTCCAGAATACTTGGATTCGAGGCTGAACTCGTTTCTGGTGAACCTCGAGAGTAGATTGGACTTCCCTACTCCAGAATCGCCGATAAGAGCCACCTTGAAGAGGTAATCGTATTATCGTAGTTGTCCTCGGCCTTGTAAGCTGTCATGGCCGATAAGAGCCACCTTGAAGAGGTAATCGTATTATCGTAGTTGTCCTCGGCCTTGTAAGCTGTCATGGCTGGCGGTTGGCGGCGGAGTGCCGAGCAGCGAGCGCGGAAGGCGGAGACTTGGAAGCCCGCGACCAAGACTGGAGTTGGGGTTGGGGGGACTGAGCTGGAGTGGCGGCGGCTGGAGGATGAGGATGGTGAAGAGAGACTTAGGGTTAGGTTATAAGCGAAGCCTGGCTGAGGACTTGGGATTTTATATTGAGTGAAAAAGAACGGGTCGGGAAATTAAAAACGGGTATGGGTTACGGGTAAAACTAAGGTTGGTGTTATAAGCAGTCGGTTTGGGCAGTTCGGGTTGAAAATTTTTCAACCCGACCCGAACCGAATTAGAACTAAAACCGAACCGAACCATGGTATTAAGATTTGAATGTGACTGTAGTTCTTTGTTTTGTGATCTTTGTGTTCACTGTTCTTGGGACCAACAATTGTTTTCGTATCTGGTTAAATCTGCTGAGGGATGCATAGTATTAAGATTTGAATGTGACTTTTATGATTCTAGTATTTAATTTGTGCAATCCTTGTTCAAAGTAATTTTTACCTTGTTCTACATTGGATATAATGTCCTGCTTAGTAAGCATTGTTCACCAATGAGCTCCTAAGTAAGAATACCTATATGGATGCATACTTCCCTATGTTAATTTACATGAGACCGATTTTGTTTTTTCATTTACATTGTTATGTAAAATTCATATTTTGTATGTTTCATTCATCAAGTATATTGTATTTCAGAAAACCACTTGTTCAAACTAGATACCTAAACGACCCTTTAAATCATACTTCTGAACTGGGTAAATGCTGAAGTAAACCCGGCCCGCGTCGTACGAGTTGCAGGAAGTGGATATGAAGGGTAAGATATACGTCCATGAAGTGTACGGCGAGTGTTTTAAACTAAAGTCTAAAACATGTGTTAAATAATTGAGTACATATTTGAATAAATGTATGCATATTCAAGGAGTGTTGGAGTTGGACACATGTCGGACACAGCTATGGGAGCCAAGACGAGCTGTTGGGTAACTTAGATACTCGCCCGCGTGGTTATTCTGAGACTACTGTCCTAATTAGTACACTAGATTGTCTGCTAAAGACGGGTAGAAATCATGCATATTCTGAGACTATTGTTTTAAACTAAAGTCTAATTGAGTACATGTTGAATAAATGTATGCATATTCAAGGAGTGTCCAAGGACTGTTAGGATCGGACACGTGTCGGACATGGATACAGGAGCCAAGACAAGGTGTTGGGTAACTTAGATACTCGCACTCTTGGATATTCTGAGATTACTGCCCTTATTAATACTCTAGATTGCCTGTTAAAGACATGGTAGAAAATCAAGCATGTAACTTTTACATACACCCATGGAGTTCATCCATTAACATTGACCTGCGCTTCTGTTCTGGAATGATGTTTTTACATGCTAGTATGGTTCCTTCAATTTTATTGGGCTTATTTTTCAATTTGATACCTCAAAGTTTGCCTTTTTTTTTCACTGTGATGCCCAAAAGTTTTTACGTAATACTTGATACCCCAAAGTTTCAATCCCATTTCACTTTGATGCCCCAGTTCAGATTTCGTTAGATTCTTTGTTAAATTTAGATCATGTGCTAAGCACATGATACCACTGTCCCCTGTTGCTGGAAACATTTGGTTGTTTGGATGCCTAGCAACTGGGTAAAATGGACCCGAATGTGATTCACCAATACCGAGGAGGGCAGACCGATTACATGATGTATGATTATCATTCTCTTTATGCTTGCAATTTTTGTCCTAACTTCTGTTTATCTCTGTTTATTCTCTCATCACCAGTCCCCTGCTCTCTTCTTCCTTTCTTTTGATGCTTGTGTTGCTTTTGTGTCTCCTAGACTCCTAAATGGTTCTTCTCTAGTACTGTTGTGTTTTCTATTGCTTCTTCCTCACTACATTCTGAAGTTTCCATAATTATCCTGAAATGATCTTCTTTTGCGTTTATTAGATATTTAAAAAAAAAAAACAGAAACGCATAAGCTCCTAAGCAATTCGCTAGGCAGTGGGTCTTCCGGTAACTTCTGCTAGCATGTTCAAGTGCAGTAATGCTTGCTATAACATGTAACAAAATTGGACTAAAAGCCTCCTCAATTTCCCCATTATAGGATTCTTTATATAGCTGCTTCCAAAAGGTTTCTACTTTCTCTAAAAGCCTCCTCAATTTCCCCATTATAGGATTCTTTATATAGCTGCTTCCAAAAGGTTTCTACTTTCTACAAATGAGATAATGAGAATATACATTCAGGATTCTTTATATAGCTGCTTCCAAAAGGTTTCTACTTTCTACAAATGAGATAATGAGAATATACATTCAAGACTGATGTTCATTTTCTGCACATCCCTCGTTAAGCTCACAATGGAGATACCGTACGTAAAGTGTATATTACTTTGAAACATAGTATTTTTATTTTTTTTGAAAGGCGAGCATAGCTGGCATGCTATACAGTTTTTCACCTGTATAATTTGCATTAGGTACAGTTTGCACTTGGGAAAACAATAAGAACTAATTAGCTTGCTGCTTATCCTTTTGTGCAGATGAAGGTTGTTGGGAAGGCTAATGCTGACTTTTCAGAACCTGCTGAGCATCATAGCATGTTCCCATAGTTAACAAAGCTGTAGATTTAGGGTGCAGGAGAGAAGTTTCTAATCAAAAGCTCCCTTCATCCAAAGGTTTGTGATTTTAAGTTTTTCGTTGTACAAGGGTTAGTTTCCTTTTCACTCTTAGTCTCTAATCACTGACAAGTTCCTAATTTATGTGAAAATTCTCAATTGATTGATTTTTCATTCAGCAAATTCTTTGCAGGGCAAGACTTGCATAATTAACAGCACTAGTCATCGTGCTCATACACTGATAAGAATATTAATGCAGAAATATACATACATGGTGTATTATGGTATTATAGGGCGGTCAGTAACTATTTTTACCTACGTAATTGTCCACCCGGTAATTTAACTCATTCTGTCTTATTAAGCTTCTTGTACAAGGTTAGTTTTTTGGGTTCAACAAACTTTTGCGTTAAATCTGGATTTTTTTTATGGGCTATCATATATTTTCATTATTTGTGGGTTTTTTCGTTTGGTTATTTTTAACAGGTATCTGTCCCACCCCCCCCCCCCCCCACCTTTCAGTATCTGTCCAATGTGCCTTATTTTCAAAAGGTATTTTATCAACTAAGATGTCGTCTCATGTATCTTCGATTTGTCCAGTTTCTTGATTTGCTGCCTTTGGATAGATGTACCATTTTGTTTATCTACAGTTGCATTTCAGTGATTTCACATTGTTTGGTTTGTTCATGGCCAACTATTTTAATTCACTGTAATCATAATCATCATCTTCCAAGGCTTTTCCACATCGAAATGGGTCTGCTACTTTAGATTCGGAGAGTACACACAGCAAATAATTGCTTCTTGTTGGTATCATCTTGATAAGTTTTTGTTGCACGTTTTCTGAGCCATCATTTAATAAAACTATTATCTTCCCTTTCTGCATTATGGAAAAATAATCATGCTAAACAACTATTTCATTCGATCCAGGGGCATTTGATTTGGAAGACTCCAACAAACCTTCTGCAGGAGTCTGTGCTCGAGCACTCAGTTTGCTTATGACCTTCCTCATGACTCTCTTCACTCTGCTTCAATCAGTTCCCATCTGTGTGACAAAGAAGCTTCCAGGCAGAACTCAGTCAGATCAGAACCCACCTTTTTTTCTAGACTCAGATCCGGAGGAGGTTTCCGATTCCCCATCACCAGCATCTGGATCCACAGAAGCTAACTTGCTTTCATCTGTACTGAAAAGACTGGGAGAACTAGAAGAAAAGGTTGGTGACCTTCAAGCAAAGCCATCTGAGATGCCGCCTGAAAAGGAGGAATTGCTTAATGCTGCTGTTTGTCGTGTTGATGCACTAGAAGCTGAGCTTATTACAACCAAAAAGGTAACTTTCGTGCTCGTACATCTATATCTGTCTAGGTTATGCAGGGTATATTTACACTTTCTGGCAGTTATTGCTTTGTTATTTTATCATAATACTAGAAATTGAATTTACCTCCATTGGTTATTGCTATCAATCGTGGGCGAAAGTTCCTTGTGTTTTTCACTTTGTGTGTGTTTGACCTCAGCCGAACTGAGGTGGAGACTGGTATTCACAGTCGAACCAAAAATTTGGGATAAAGGCGTTGTAGATTTTGTTGCTTTTGTAAAAGCGCATATGTTTCTACTCCTTTTGGTCTACATTTTTGTGCTCATTCTGTAAATAATGTGGCTAAGCAGGCTTTACATGAAGTGCTGATGAGGCAAGAGGAGCTACTTGCATATATTGACCGTCAGCAAGAGGTTAAGTTGCAGGTGAGTGTAAATTATGTGGAGCACCTATATGTTAGTTATTATTCTCTGTTTTGTTGATAGAGATTACTCTTCATTTCCTTGTGCTACCATTACAGAAGAAAAAGAGGATGCTATGCTTTTGAAGAAAGAGTAATCTGATGCATTGTCGTTTTTTCCTTCTACAATTCCTAGTTTATGATGTGAAAAGGAAAGGATAATGTGTGAATATGTTGAGTGAGAAACAAGTGTAGTCTGATCCCCGCGGCAATATTCCTTTCTACAATTCATAGTCTATGATGTGAAAAGGATAGGATAGTGTTAATGTAAATATGCCAAGAAAAAAAATGTAGTCAAGGCAATTGTTTTCTACGATTCATAGTTCATGATGTGGAAATGAAAGGATAATGTTGATGAGAATATGTTGAGAAAGCAATGTAATCTGATCTGTGCGGCAAATTTCCTTACTACAATTCATAGTTTATGACAAGAAAAGGAAAAGATAATGTGATGCGATTATGCTGAGAAAAGGAATGCCTTACTGTTGCATTTCCTTCTGCTGTAGTCGCTCCTTGTTGGGCATCAAACTAAATTTGAGTTGTACGTATTACATAGTAGTTCGCGTGATCTTTTGCTTTTACAGTTTCCCCCCTATGACTTTGAATGATGCATGGTATGGTTTTTACTGCAGATATGTAATTCCTTTGGTGCTACAAAATATTTTATTTAAAGCATTCGGATTCTCTATCTTAGACACAGATTATAGTGACTAATTGGCGTCTTCACGTTTTATATGACATGTTATATGAAATGATCCGAGGTATAAAATGAAGCATTGTGAGATAGTTGGTAAGCACAAAGGAAGGAATGATGATATACCTATCAGTATCCCATGATCTTTATTGTTTTATGCGATCGGGATGAAAATTACTTAGCAGCAAAGTTCTATTGTATTCTACTTCGAATCCAGAGGAATGATGATTTACATAGTTGTTCAGTTTTTTTTTTACTGCAGATATGCAAATAAGAACGCCAACGGAATGGTTCAGCCACGCTAATCAAAGATTACAGCATAATAGGGCCATCAATATAATAGAAACCTATAACCGACCCAACTGAAAAAATTATATGCAAGGAAGCGGAAACGATGACAACCCATAAGCTAACCTCCCACCCTAAATATCTACACCTCTGAGAATCTGAACTGTACCCAATAACGCAAAATCGCCCTACATTAAGCCATTGTATGGATTCTGATGTGGGTAAGAAGAAATGTCAGCAGGACCAAAAGGGTTCCCAAAAGGATTGGTGTTCTCCTGGCCCAGAGATTGCTGCTGCTGCCGCCGCTGCCCTTGCATCGTTACTGCTTGTTGTTGACCCATGGTTGCCATTTGAACGTTGGCTGGTGCTGCTATGCCATTGGATGCGTAAAAAGGATCTCGGGAAAATTGAGAAACATGGAAAGGGTTTGGAGCCACCTGGCCCAAATGGTAGTTTGCTCTTCTTGAGATTGCGTCATTGTAGAGGCTGTCCAATGTCGCCTTGTCCAAACCCCCAGCCTGAAAACAGTAATGAAGACCAATGTTGGATCTAAAATTCAGAAGAAAACTTTTTTCATCAGAACGTGGAATTTGACCTACAACTTTCAAGCAGCCAGGCCATGAACGTGACACTGTCATTAGGTCTTATCTTGAACTAATGAGGTGAGTGCAGGTGACAATCTCGACTTGTTCGACTTTTGACTCATAAGTTGCATACATGCGCGAAATGTTTTTGAGTTTGTTGATCTACGACTTAACCATCAGCCTAGTTTGAACTGGCTAATGTTATGAGAAGCCCAGAAAGAGGGTCAAAACAGAGCTTAGAGCCCCAAAAGCAGGCAAAAAGAAGGGGTTCGAGCCTCTAAATCTGTCCAGGGACTTAGGAATACAGCTTTAGGCAAGGGAAGTCTTCACTGGAGTGCTTCTGCTAAAGCTTTCATGAGGATTTCCACAAAATTAACCTGGGTGAAACCAGTTCATATTCTTTTCCTGAGCCGACAGAGGCCTGTCATAATAACGCACTCTGCCTGTTTTGACATGCAACTATAGCATACAAAAAGCCTCACCAGTTTGCTCTCTCCAATAGCACTTCTATTGGAAGTTGACGCAGTGACTAAAGCAAGTTCCCACCCAGTAGTTTCACCCATAAGATCGGCACTTGTACTATCTAATGGATCACCTGCGAAAAAAATGAAAGATCGGAGAAATTAAAGAAATAACAATTCAATCTAGACAATTATTTTGTGAAATAAAAATAATGGTGGATTACTGCTCGGAACTACGGCAAGAGCTAAGGTGTTATTCTCTTCTAGCTCTGCAGCTCCCTGGCTGGCGTCATCCAAACCCTGCAAGTACAACACCACAAGTACAACTGTGAGGGAACTTGACATCATATTCAAAACTTTTGGGATTTCTGTTTCTTCCCTGTAACTCAGCATTCTCCAAATTCTCAGTAAATAATATAAGCAACCCTCAAGCTTGGACCCTCACCAGAAGATCAGGAACCTCTGTTTGTGCTCTCAGTAAATAATATAAGCAACCCTCAAGCTTGGACCCTCACCAGAAGATCAGGAACCTCTGTTTGTGCTGGAACTGAAGCTTTGGGAGTCTCAGCTGCAATTTGTTCTGGGGATACTGAAACAGCAGCTATTGCCTCTTGCTTGTCATCATTAGAGTCCACTTTCTTATGCTCGATACCCATAAAGGATTTAGGAGCAGGTAGTCTTTTATTAGCATCCACCTGACAATAATTACATGCCACATGCCTATTAGAGTAATTAAAAAAAATTGAGATCCTCAAAACTAAAACAGATGCCAAAATTAGTATTTGCAAGAAGGCCAATAAGAGTCATAAATGTTGCTGGTATGATATAATTTGAAGTATCATATTGTTGTGTACCATTACATATTTTTGGAAGAATCTGAGTTCAGTTCAGTTGCAGGAAGGTCCATCCGAATCACAAAACATCTTCACGACTTCACTTACACACAAAAGAATCTCGTACCAAAAAGAACTGGTGTAGAATATTGATTAAGAGGACGAACAAATCTACCGATATAATATAAAGTTATTGTCAAAGGACTTTGCCCCTGCACCACAACTTCGTTATAATTTGATATTCTAACATATGCCCCAGCAGGTCGAGGGTGCTTTTCTTTTAAATCCACTTAGAGATTTCCTGTTTCATTTTAAAGGAACTTGGCAGGGTCCTTTAACAACATGTTAGAATATAAAATTCAGTTTTAAAAGATTAACTTGGCAGTATCATTTTCTTTTAAATCCGCTTAGAAATTTGTGTCAAACAAGGTTTGAACCTGGATTGCTATGATACATGGCAAAGGATCAGGATTGATGGGTTATAACTTTATAGTCTAACAACTATAACATTCAAAATTCACCGACTTTTTGACATGCATTAGTACCTATAAGAACAGGGGGTTCAGTTTATAAAGGTAAATAAGACATACATAAGAGGAACGATTTTATATTTATGGTCTAATTTTGGAAGAATTGAAGATTAATGTAGGCGGTCTAAAAATCACAATAGATAGCTTATCCAAACAAGCTCCGACAACGGAGGTCACAATCAGACGACTTCCCAATCACTGTATCCGCAACTCCACAATCGCCACAAACACGACATACACTTCTGAGATGATTGATCTTGATGGCTGTGACAACAGCATGGCTAATATCATAGCAACTATTAGAGATGCTGATGAGCAGTGGGACGATTTCAGAAATAAAAGGTTGGACTCAGTTGGTGAGTTGCTTGGTAGAGAGCTGTGGGCGAATATTCATCTTTAAGACACTATGGATGTTGATTCCCGTCTAGCTCCTACAACGAAAGCTACAATCAAATAGTTTTCGGCTCGGTGAACGAAAGTTGCGAATGGAGGGCTTTTCACATAGATCGAGAAGAGTTACAATTCAACGACACTTCTGACGATTGATGAAAATTCTATGCAGCAGTCTTCACAATCTACAGTGAAAGTTACAACCTGACGGCTTTTACACCCCACAACAACTAAAACTAGGATTATTGAACAACGGTCCTTGCAACGCTCTACAGAAGAAGTTACAAGTCAAATGGCTCCTTCTGAAACGCGGACGTCATCCCCGCGTCACCAATTTGAAAACAACAGCGACCCTCGCGTCGACAATGCACAAGCCAAACGTGAGCGACCCTCGCGTTCAATGGTGTTCAGCTAACACCCAACTTCGCGTCTCAATTCCACAAGCCAAACGTGAGCGACCCTCGCGTTCAATGGTGTTCAACCAACAGCGACCCTCGCGTCACCAAGTCACAAGCCAAACGTGAGCGACCCTCGCGTTCAATGGTGTTCAACCAACAGCGACCCTCGCGTCGTCAATGCACAAGCCAAACGTGAGCGACCCTCGCGTTCAATGGTGTTCAGCTAACACCCAACTTCGCGTCTCAATTCAAAGAACACGAAGTTGAGTTCTAAACGCCAGAATGGGCGTTTGACTTATTCAAGGAATCAAAATCACATTTTCTTTATTATCTTCTTTGCAATTTTGCCTACATACAAAAGATGGCGACTCTGCTGGGGACTAGCTTTTCCGACGATGAAGTGGTGGCTCAGTCCGACGTCCACCTCATGGCAACGACTGTAGAAACTCTCGTCGTAGAGTTTGATCAAGCGAAATACGAGAAAGCCCTATCCTCTGGATCGCTTAGCCCTAAGACTAAGCATGGTGTCCGCAAGATCTCCAAGGAGATCAATTCTGTTGTTGAAGAGCCGAAAAAAGCCCTCTCCTTCGGCCAGGAACTCAAACTGGCTCTGATGGCGGAAGATCCCACCTCCGTATTAGCAAGACGTGCTTCAGGCCACAAACGGCCTCTGGAGGAGACGAGTCCTGTAAACGTCAATGACGTTGCTGCAAAGGCGTTGAAACAGGCCAAGAAGAGAGACGAGTCCTGTAAACGTCAATGACGTTGCTGCAAAGGCTTTGAAACAAGCCAAGAAGAACGCCGCTCGCCGACGGAGAAGATCCATCCGACGAGCACACTTACGAGAAAGCCGATTGTTGGCCCAACGCGAAGATCGCGTTTCTAAAGATCCAACCGAACCTGGCGTCCCCAAAGAAGAGCGCTCACTGCGTGGCAATGAGCCCAACTATGAGCCTAGGCTGATACAGCTCAAACGCGACCCTGAGTGGCGCGTTGTTCATTCAAAACGCAGCCCTCAGAATGGAGCTGCCAAAACCAAACGCGACCCTCATAGGCGCGTTCCAATTGAACATGACTCTCAGGAGTCTGTTTCACAAATTAAACGCGACCCTCAGGTGCGCGTTCAAACGAAGCATGACTCTCAGGAGTCTGTTTCACCAACTAAACGCGACCCTCAGGTGCGCGTTCAAACGAAGCATGACTCTCAGGAGTCTGTTTCACCAACCAAACGCGACCCTCAGGGGCGCGTTCAACCAAAACTTGACCCTCAGAGGTCAGGTTCATCATTTAAACGCAGGCCTCGGCCTGGTGTTTACAACTCTCAACGCGACCCTCGCGTTATTTCTCAGGAACGCGATCTTCAAGAGGTCCGTCAGGTTCAGAAAAGTCAGCGTGGCTTTAAAATTCACGTTCGACAAGAACCAATCTCACCTACCCAAGGGCAGGGGGTTCCAACTCCACCTCCAAGTCCGGGGAAAGTTTCCTCCCAAGTTCCTGATCTGCGGGAATTATTGTCAAGAGGAAAATCAACAGTGCAAGCAGCTCACTCATGTCAATGTGAGAGGCTCATCTCTGCAGTCCTGTCAGAATGCCCTTGTTGTGCATCCACACCTCGGCAGTCCGTATTCGACAGGTTGACAAACGTTGTTAGGCCTGCCAAACGACAACGCCGCAACAAAAAGAAGACAGTTGAAGCGGAATACCCTCAGGTCACTATCAACATGATCGGCCGAGGGAAAGCCTTGCCTACTGATTCCGATGAGTCACAAGAGAGTCATCACTCGACTGTCAGAGAAATTTGTGACCAGTTCGAAGGAGTATATCAGAATACTCGGACTCGAACAGGAGCTATTCGCCCGGTTGACTATCAAAAGTTAGCCAAAGGCATTACAACAAGTGAAGAACATTCAGCAATAGCTGAATCTCAATCGTCAAGCTCTGTTGGAGCACGCGAGGTCTCCGCTTACATGTCAGGGAATCACGAAGACATCGCCAAAAGAGTGGACGAACATCATGTCATGCTCCAGGCGCAACAAGAGACACTTCTCCAATTAAAGGATATGCTGGCTCAGCTTCTTGCTGAAAAAGGCCACAAACCTGAGTCTTCCCGGAGAACAACTTCAAAGGGAAAACAAAAACTGCATGAATATTCAGACCGTGAGACTCACAACCTGGGATCCTCTTCCGAGGGTGAGAGGGAGATCGAGAAAGAACTGCACCCTCAATCTACTAAGGTGGATGAGCTGGAAGCTCGCCTTAACGCAATCGCCAACAGAAGCGAGCTCCGCGAGGAAGGGGTAGTGCGACCTTACCCTGCTGAGTGGGATACAGCTCCCTACCCACCGAAGTTTAAGGCCCCTACCTTACAACCGTTCGATGGTACAGGATCGCCAAATCAGCACATTTACTACTTCAAGTCCCAAACTGGGGATGTAGTAGCAAACGACGCCATCCTGACCAGGCTGTTCATCGGTACCCTTAAGGGTGTCGCCTTCGAATGGTTCATGAAATTGCCTGCCGGATCTATTCAGAAATGGGTAGACCTGGAAAGGCTATTCTTGGCCAGATTCTTTGAGGACGACACGGAGGTCTCGGTCCCAACTCTTCTTGCCACTAAGCAAAGGAAAGGAGAGTCCATCAAAACCTATGTGGAGAGATTCCGCAGCATGGCATTGCGATGCCCCTCAGGTATGAGGTAGCAAATGACGCCATCCTGACCAGGCTATTCATCGGTACCCTTAAGGGTGTCGCTTTCGAATGGTTCATGAAGCTGCCTGCTGGATCTATCCAAAAATGGGTAGATCTGGAAAGGCTCTTCTTGGCTAGGTTCTTCGAAGACGACACGGAGGTCTCAGTCCCAACTCTTCTTGCCACTAAGCAAAGGAAAGGAGAGTCCATCAAAACCTATGTGGAGAGATTCCGCAGCATGGCATTGCGATGCCCCTCAGGTATGACCCAATCAACTCTGGTTGAAACTTGCAGGCACAACCTGCAGACCCAGCTCCTTGCTCAAACAGAATGTCGCTAATGTCGCTCCTGGAGACAACTAGTCTCACAAGGAGAACAAGCTGAAGAAATAGTGGCGCGGGTCAAAGCCGAAGAAGTACCACAACCCAAGCCGCAGCAGCAACAGCAACGCAACCAGAACAACGCCCAGCGGTCTAAGGGAATGGAGACCTTGGCGGCCGACTACACGCGAGTACCACTGCCGAATAAGCAAGGCAAGGCGCCAAATCAGCAAAGAGCGCCCAAGCAGTATTCGTTCAAAGAGGAGCACGTGGATACATTATTCCAGTTGCTTCGAAAGAACAACAAGCTGCAATTGCCTGAGGTCAGGAAGCCGGATGAAGCAGGGAAAGTGGATGACCCCAACTATTGTCGTTATCACAGATTCCTTGGACATCCTACCAAAAAGTACTATGTATTTAAAGACATCCTGCAGAATTTGATGAACGCTAATGTGCTCACACTGAAGCCAGAACAGAAGACCGTATCTACTAACATGATAGCGGTCCAGTTTGGTAACTTTCCCCCGGTGGTAACC